ATTCACAATTTGTTTAGTGTCCCAACTTTTTTGGAATCCGGTTTGTATTTGTTCACAAAAAAAAAAAATGCTTATTTGCCAAAAAGGCTGCACTTACTTATATAGATCATCTTAAACAAAGCTCAACTTCTAATGGTCATTCCCTTTTAAATAAATACAACAAATTCGGCTCACATGAATGATTTGAAGATGACCTTCAATAAAGAAATGACGTTTGTCATTTAAAGGCCCACTGCACGAATGCACATATTAAACAGATCAGACTATAAATGTGTTTTGACACTTACCCTTCATTTGGTTCATCATAAATACTCCTGTAGTCTCTTGACCACAAGCTGACATCAAATTGTTCATGTTGTTACATCAATATATTGAGTTTTGTAACATCAAAACACTTACTAGACTGGGATTTTGACTGAAAAATGTCTGCTTTCTATTTTCAGTGAATACTTTTGTTTTGGGGGATTTGAGTCATGCTGTTGCTTTCCTAGAAATAAAAGATGGATTAAAATGAATAAAAGTTCGTATTACTTGATGAGAGTATCGTCGTCAACGATCAGCAGCCAATCAGCCTTCCAAGTGGTCTCACTCAGAAAACGCTTCAAGATGGCGAACGTCTTTCCACAGTGGCCTTCGAAGGACAAAACAGAGGTTCAATCAACAGACGTCACTTTTTTTTTCTTGCCTCAAATAAATGAACATTGTACACAAATGAGTTAGAGAATTGGATCTGTGAGATAGGTGATAGTAACTTTTTAAAGTGATCTTTGTGCTGAAGCTGGTCACGTTTAAGAAGAAACGTCATGTTTGGATCTAAAGGCTGAGTCGGGGATCTGGCTGAAGTGCGTGAGACTGAAACAAAAACATGATGACATTTAGGAAAACAGACAAGACACATTTTTCAAATCACTTTTGCCCAAAGTCTTTTCTGCTCATAAAAATGTAATATTTAGAGGCATTTTCCCTCTATGTGAACATCGCTGCATGTTTTAAAGTGACCCGGAATGCGACTTTGCACCTTTTCCTCATTTAGTATGTACAGATTTATAAATATGCAAACCGTCTGCACCACTCACCTGCACCTGCTCCTGTTTAACTCTGCTCAAACATGATAAAGTTGCTTGGAGCTGCACACTGGCTGAATTAAATGTTGATATAATTCATCCAAAGCTGAACCTGAGCAATCTAAAGAAAATGTGGATATTTTTCACTACAACATAAATGTGCAGCGCTGTCTGTTTCAGTAAATGCACTTTTGGTTCCAAGGCTGGAGATTTATGTAAGTGCCTTTTAATTCAACACATTTTAATACCATTTAACAACTGTTTGGACAAAAACACATGAATTTAATCAATACCAATTTATGAAACTCCATCAAACTGCTCGGGTCAACAACAAAAAAAGACAGCTGCAAAAAAGGCTATTTTATTAAATGCCTCTAGAAGGCCAAATATCCTGAAATAAAATGAACTGCCCTTGAAAAATTCAATTGCACACTTATATTTTAAAAGCTGTTCAAGAAGATCAGCTTAAACTGATGATCTTTTTAAGTTAATGAACTGTGCATCACATCTGTTCCAATATAAAAGAGTAGCCACAAAATGTGTGTGTTTGTGTTCGTTCACAATTTTATTACTTTTTTATGTCTGGCTTTTTGAAAGTATTTCAACGAGTTCCTCTGCTGTTAGAAAGACCAGTTTCCTGCAGCTTACTGTCTATTAACTTATGGAAGGACACATCACAGTCACGGGTGGTACGGTGGCTCAGTTGGTAGAGCTGTTGCCTCTCAGCGAAAAGGTTGCCGGTTCAAATCCCAACCTTTCTGGGTGGAGTTTGCATGTTCTCTCCGTGCATGTGTGGGTTTTCTCCATTTACTCCAGTTGTCTCCCACAGACTAAAAACATACATGTTAGGCTGATTGGTAACTCTAAATTGTCCCTAGGTGTGAGTGAGAGTGAATGGTTGTTTGTCTCAATGTGTCCCTGTGATGGACTGGAGACCTGTCCAGGATGTCCCCCACCTCTCGCACACTGATAGCTGAATGTAGGCACCAGTGACCCCCGCGACCCAAAAAAGGAATAAGCGGGTAAAGATAATGGATGGATGGATAATGGATAATGGATGGATGAATGGAGATCACAATCACCTGTGATCTTGACCCTTGATCAAGGTCACCTCCATCATAGGGGGAGTGGTGGTGCAGAGGATAGAGAGATTAGGCCTGTGATCGGAGGGTCGCTGGTCAACCCCCCAGACCGACAACATCAAAATGTGGGTGGAAAAGGTGAAACACCCACCAGCCTCCACCCTCATTTGCCCCGGTCTGGGCTCATGAGCAAGGCCCTTAAACCACCCAGCTGCTCCCCCAAGCACCTTAGATGGCAGCCCTCTGCTTCACATGTGCAAAGGGAAAAATGCAGATAATTCATTTCCCCATTGGGAATTAAAAAAGTACAATAAAAATAAATAAAAATGAGACAACCGTTCTCTGTCTCACTCACACCTAGGGACAATTTAGAGTTACCAATCAGACTAAAATACATGTTTTTGGTCTGTGGAAGGAAACTGGAGTACCCGGAGAAAATCCACGCATGCACGGAAAGAACATGCAAACTCCACCCAGAAAGGTCCTTGACTGGGATTTCATCTGGCAACCTTCTTGCTGAGAGTCACCAATAGTCACCTGTGACCTTGAAATCAATAGGGGTACTTCTTGACCCATGAGGTGTCCAGATGTGCAGTTTGACATGTCCAGGCTAAAGAGGTATAAGTTTAGACCTCGGTCAAAAAACTGTCCACGACGGACGGCGTCTTATCATAATACGTCCTCTCTTGGGACAATTTTTTTATTTAAATTTATGGAAAAGAGGTGAAAATATGTTGTTGTTTTTAAATGAAGAAACATTAGTCACAACAGAGTTTGTGACAGGAGGAATGAGACAGGCCGAGTTTGGAACTTTTCCTGACCCCGGCCGTGTGAACAGACTCAAACACACATTTGAGGTAGATACACTGATAAACAATCAGAGATGTCTGAGGCGGGGGGGAGTATAAATACGAGACATCGGTGTTGATCTGTTGTTCATCAGCACAATCTGACTGTTGCATCTATCAGACAGAAACTGTCATCGCCTTTTATTCTCTACACCAGAGAGAAGATGGACTTCAGGGTTGGTTGCCATGATCTCTCAGTCATCTTGCATTTATATCATAAAATGAATGGATTGAGTCCCATACCTTGGTCTTCAGGAGACTATAAAAGGTTTCTAATATTTTAAACACCACAGTCAGGGTTCCAACTGTAAAACTAAGGGAGAACAGACGGTTTTAATGAGTTCACATGAATCATTTTTTTCACTCTTTAAACCAGTCTCACCTGCTTCTCGTTTCCTCAGCAGCCCCTTTGGGCTTTACTGACACCTTTCCACTGCTTACTTTCTGCCATATCATCTTCTTCTTTTGACCTTGATGTTTAGTTTTCCAGCTCTCCCATCTCACTGACTCCATATGATCCTGGTTGTGAGTTTTGATCCTCTGACCTTTGCCTGCTTGTTTACCAACTCCTTACTCTCACATCTGAGTCCAATATTGGAAGATGCTGTCTGAAATGACTACCTGTGGCTGACATGTGCACTTCATGATGTTGGTAAAGTTTTTCTCGAGTCTATTTGAACTCATTTTCATGTATCTTTTTTTCTGAGTTGAACTGATCTAGAAGTCGGCACAAGAAACAAAATAAATACGTTTTGAGCAGTCGTGTACCAAGTGGAGGGAAGGAAAACATCCAAGGTTGTATTTGTAATAAATAATAGCCTTCAAATAGTTTAAAGCAAAGGAGGGGAAGCTATGTAATTGCAATACTAAAGTATAAATGCTGATTGTTATTTTGGGAAGAATTATTCAAGTGAAATGAGACTGTTAGTCAATAAAAAAACAAATTATTATAAAGCAAAAATGGCTGCAACTACTGTTTATTTTATTATTATTTCATTATATTTCAATTACTGAGTTTCTCTAAGATAAATTACATCTATTTGTGACATGTCCCTGTGTCATTTTGTGTGAATGAGTGCCTAATTCATTCATGTGCTCTCTTTAGACAGCTGATTGGCTGGAAGGGGCTTCAAAGGATCAAGCTCCGCCTGTTGGAGGAGTGAGGGAGGCCTGAGGAGAGACGTTGGTCTGACGGTTTCTGGCTTTTCTCTCCAGCCTCGCTCCCGCTCCTGTAGGAGATACCTGTGGTTGCACCTTGTCTCTGATTTTGTTGAGTTGATTGTTGTTACCTGTCTAAAATTCAAATAAAGGTTGAATGAATGAATGTTAGGACTGGGAGTTACTGGCCATCATTGCGTTTTCGGTTTTTGGCGGTAGGGTTAATCCTCTGATCATAGGGTGAGGGGAGCGGCTCGAATCCGATGGTCAACTCCTGTCTAGTTCAGGGCTTCTCCCTGTTTTTGCTTGTTTTAGCCAGGGCTCTCAGTTTACTATTCTGTTCAGGTGATCTGTGATTTAATTCTTGTCTAATTGCATAATCATCAAGTTGTGCATCCTGTCATTTACTCCTGGACATCTCAGGACCATAACACTGTTATTCTGAAAGAGTCAATGTATGCTGTCGTAATCTCACCTCTCTCAGTATTGGGCACTCCCAGGGTTATTGTGGGGATAGAGGCATCACTGACGTCACTATAGTACTCTAAAATCCCAGCATCCTTCTCCCAGGTTGACTTCACAACTGGTACTGTGAGGAGATGAAAAGAAAGAGAGGTCAAAGTGTGCAAGGTTGAGCACATAACATTTAACCTTAAACAATACACACATCATCTCTGAACTAAACAGAGCTCTTTTGACCAAAACCCCATTTAATGGCTCCCAGTTCATAATTAAAACCCTCAAAGCATCTAATTGAAAGGGTCATGCCATCAAATCATGCTTTTAATTGAGGGAAGAATAGATGATGCTCTCCCCCCACTGCCTGTTGATGTGGAGGACAGCAGCATCTACAGTAAAGAAACAAGACAAAGACTTCCAATTACAGTTTAATCAGGCAAAATTAATGTTGATCTATGACAAGTGGGTCCGATCTGGCATTAATTTATTCTTAAACACATCCTTTGATTAAAAGAAAGTGGAAAGGACATCATGACACCCCGCTATGCAATGCTAATGAGCAGAGTTTGAACTGAATTTCAGTAAAAGTTAATGACACACTCCTCATTCCGCTTATGATTGTGCTAATTGCTCTAAAACAGTCCGTTCGTAACTGCTGGCTCATTCTGACCCTTAAAACAAACATCAGTGTTTTGGATAATGGTGCTGGCTGTGGTAATTTCAGCAGACAGTTTAGATGAGGTTGTAAATTTCAACAGGTAGTTTCCACCTGACTGGTTTACTGGGGCTGAATGACAAGCAGCCTGGTTTACTACATGTGCTACATAAAGAGAAGGTGAGGGCAAACAAGGGAAGGTTTTATTCTTGCTCGCTTTATAATTTTGCTGCCAGAATATGGAAATTGCAAATTGGTGCTGGAAATTGGACCTGGGAACATATTAACACAACCCTTTGAGTGTGGCGAGTTGTTTGGATCTTCTAGGCCCAGTGTTTCCAACATAAAAGTTGGCTACTCAGTCTCTGATGGCTTCAAATATTCTTTTTTCCCCATCTGAGCCACACCCTTTTGTTTGGTTTTCAGCATCATTTAACTCATAACTACACACAGACACATTCTTTAAATCTGGTTTACTGAGTTAAGTTCAAAATAAAATATAATGTGTGCTGTCTTCTGTATTTGTTGTGGTTTTGAGCTGTCTGGAACAAACTGGGGGCTCGTCCGGTATTTGAACCAAATAATTCTTGCAACACAGAAAAGTTTACAAAATGCAAGTAAGCATATACTAATTAATTTTGTTAAATCGTTTAACTTTTATTGAAACTGATATGGATACAAAGGAAAGCTTTTTCAATGTCTTTACTGACAACTTAGTCATGTTTGGGGAAAATCTAAACACTTCTGGGTCCAGCAACACCTAACGCAAAATCTGGAAGAGGTCAATTTTGACCACTATGTTGCCACAATTCTGGGGTACAGGAGAGAGTAATTGTTGCAGTTTTTCAACATGAATCTGTGTGCATTCTTGTTAGAAATAAGAGTTTCTCTGCTGTGCATTCTCTGGTCATCTTTTAGCTCTCCTCTTTTTAAGACATACTGTACTCAGTTTATTAGGAGACAGGGTCTGTTTCGCAGGCAGAACAGAAACCATATGCACTCTAAAAAGCTACACTGATTTAAGTCACACAAAAAGAGACTGGGCTTCATTCTGCTGATATAACAGTGAACCTCCAGAGAAAAGGGCACTGCCCTAATGGTGGCATATGTTTCTTTGAAATTCATAATTAATTTTTTCACAAAGTTTGCTGCATGTGCTTGCTTTGTTGTAGCTGTTTCTATTGATATACTGAAGCATTATTACAAGCATTTGATAACCTTCAAAGGCTTATATTGACTGTCACGATAGCTATGTTTACATGAGCAAAATTATTTTATCGGATTGAACTATATTCAGATAAAATAATCCAAATGTATCGTTTACATGGGCACAATCCATTCAAGACGAGCATTTACATGCAGCGGGCTTTTATTCTGAATAGAAGTACTGACATGCGCAAAGTGGCAAACTTTCCTTTAAAAAAACACAGAAGAAGTTCTACTTCTGTTCTACTTCTGGGATGAACGTAAATAAACCTGAGCGCTCAAAATGGACCCGCGCCAGGTTTTAATGACGGTGGAGACGTTACTGCACTCCCTGACTGAGCTACAGGTGATACAGATCATTTTGAGCTCTTTCAAAGTTTCTAGTAGAAATGTTGTGTCGCTCACCGACCAAATTTGCTTCCACGACATATTAGCATCTAGCCAGGCGGAAATACGTGAGGTTGACATAGGTCGCACATGCACAGTCAGGTCAGTTTTCCACGATCGGAATAAAATGATCAGATTACGTGTTTACATGCACACTGTTCGGATTTTGAATTGGCATAAACCACCCCTCTCATTCGGATTACAAATTCATTCGGATCGAGTTGACTCAACAAAGAATAATCCAAATAGGGAATTTACATGACGCATTTTTATTCCGAATGGCCGTTTAATCCGATCACTTATGTCCATGTAAACATAGCTATTGAATGTATGTAAAGAGTCAATATCTGTAGTGTTGACCCATTTTTATTCTCCAAGACCTCTGCAATTTGCCCTGGCATGCTGTTAATCAACTTCTGGGCCAAATCTTAACTGACTATGGCCTGTTCTGCTTTATCAATGTTTTAAGTTTGTCAAAATCTGTGGGCTTTCTTTTAACCACCCATCTCTTGAGGAGTGGCCATGGGTTCCTAATGGGATTTAGATCTGGAGAGTTTCCTGTTCTTGAACCCAAAATCTGGATGTTTTGTTCCCAAAGCCACTTTAGCCTTAACTATACATCATGCTGGAAAAAGTATTGGTTGGGAGAAGTTTTACCCATTAGTTATTTAAGTACCATTTTTTTATTCATGGCTGTGTTCTTAGGCAAAACTGTGAGTGAGTCCCTTCCCTCGGCTAAGAAGCAACCTCAAACATGAATGATCTCATGATGCTTTACTCTTGACAGTACACCAGCTGGAGGACCCGCATTGGAAAATTTTCACAAAAACGTTTGTTGCTTTACAATAATGGATTACTGTTCTACTAGCTCTGATCAAAGTCCTTTTCCTCTTCCTATTTTAATGCATTGATATATTTAAATAATTTCTGACAAACTGGCTGAAATAAAGTCGTTATACACACCTCGCTCTGAGTGGAATTTTTCACAGGTTTTCACTGCAACAAATAAATTCCTCTTTGAGATTGGCTTGCCCTGGGGAAAAAAACATAACAATAAAAAAAAAGTGTATACTTAAAAAAAAACGATACTTAAAAATGAAAGAAAAGCACATATCGTCACAATGAATACAGGCATCTACATATGTATCGCTGAGTTTTAAGGGATATTTTGATGAAATACTCTACCGACACATTTCAGGAGAAATTACACCACTGCATGCGTGCAATTTTAAAAACTTTAATCTCTGTCCTGACTGGAGGAAATGGAAACAAATGAAGCAGAATTTATAAGTAAAACTCAATAAATCCAGTAAAATCTGCTTCCAACAGGGAGAATAGGTTGGATTTGTACTTTGATTTATGATCAATTAATCACAACGCCCCACCCAAGAAATGATCACAACTGGAGTGTGTTCTTAACTATAAAGAGTCTCTCTTTTTTTTTAAATAAACTTGTAGGTGGGCTGTAGACGACCTCAACCAGCTGAATGACATTTACATTTGCTAACTACATTACAATTCTTTCTAGTAACACTGTGAATAAATCATGTATCAAACTGAAGAATTTATTGTGTTTCAGCTCAGCGTTCACCTTTGTTGTTCTGAAGTTTGGATTATCCTTTCGTCTGAAATGTCTTACTCAGAGCTGAATTGTGTTTGCTCCGATCTGATTCATCTGCTGCATTGATTTTCTGCTCCATTTATGGTGGTTACCATCTTTTAGCTTTTATTCAGGGTTCACTTATCCCTTCAGCCCTACAGTTCTCAGAAATTTGTATTTCTGTGTAACAATCCAAGACCGCGTGCATTACCCACTCAGTGTTTGGAACTTAACTAAACTGGACAGCTTTGGCATGAAGATGCTCACGGGGAAGACGGAACAGTTAAATTTGCCCCTGTGTCAAAAGAGGGCTTTTTATGAATGCAAAACAAGAATTATGCTTGCTTTTATTCTATCTAAATCATTTTCTAAATAAGTACAAGTCTTGTTTTGGACAGAACACAACAAGGGGGAGTTTTCTAACATTTAAACACCAAGGCTTAGCGCTAAATAAGGAGAAATCATTTCTGGATATTGGAAATAAATGTTTGTTTGTATGAATGTTAAAAGAATCCTTATGAGCCACACTATTGTTTATAACATTCTCATGAGACCACTGCCATTCATGGCTGTTTTTATTATTGGTATTTGTGTTTTACGGGACAATGCTGAAAACCAAGAATGAATTTCTTAAAGTTACATCTCAAAGAAGCTCCTTAATGGTACGGTCATATTTATCACTGCCTTGAAAGGTGGGTGATTATGTAATTGCCACTCTGAGTGTCTGTGTTTGTTTGTTTGTTTGTTTGTTTGTTTGTTTGTTTATAGCAAAACATGATAATAACCGATTTCAATAGAACCATTAGAAAATGATTATTAAATGAACATCTAACAACTCAAACTTTTGGAGTTCACCCAATTCAAGATGGCCACCACAGCTAAACAACATAAGCCAAAACATAAATGGGTATAACAATCAAATTTACAGATATTGATCTAAAACATTGTATAGTAGTAGCTGAAAGTCATCCCAATAAATTAACAGAATGTGAAAGATCTTTGCCAAACATTTTAGCATGCAAGGCAGCAGGCCATATGCTTTTTAAAAAAATATTTTATTTAATGTTTAGAAATGTTAGTCTTAAATGAAAATATATAAATCAACTTTCTAAAAGTGTAAAATTGGTGTTCCGCAAGGTTCTATTTTAGGATCATCTTCTTTTACCAGTAATTTAATGATGTCCCTGAAAGTTGTCAAAGAATTTTTAGTCAAAGGTTATGGATGTTTTTATTACTATGGCTGAGAACAAGAAGGCCAAGACATAATCAAAAACATCTCCCAAGACACAATCTTATCTCTGCCCATGAACCATATGTTTGGGTTAACAGAGAGCGCTGGATGAAAAGACCGAAGCATGCAGCTGCAGCCAAGGACACCTCCTGAGCTCTGTGAACTCAGCTGAACTGATAAGGGTATAAAAGCGAGCGAAGAAAGCAGCTGGAGGCAGATTCTTGTGAATGGTTTTCATGTGTGTATATTTATGTATATTTATGTAACCTGTCCTGAAAATCTGCCCTTGTAAGTAAAATGCTAGTAAAAAAAAAAAAAATCTTCTCCTGCCTTTGAGTGTAGTTCTTGTGGGAAAACAATGTAAATGAGAATGTTTTTTTCTAACAGTTGAAAGATGCTCAGCGCCAAAGGTGCACAAATGATGCTGTCATTTATGTGTCATATTTTTCAGACTATAAGGCGCACTTAAAATGCTTTAATTTTCTCAAAAATCAACAGTGAGCCTTATAATCCGGTGAGCCTTATGTATTAATTCTGGTTGTGCTTGCTGACCTCGAACCTATTTTATGTGGTGCAACTGAACAATGTTGAGAGTTATTGTGAATGAGTTGAATAAAGTTTGACTTATCTGACTGTTTTGTTTCGCTTAACGCGCCTTATTATCTGGTGTGCCTTATAGTCCAAAAAATATAGCAACAAGCTACATGGAGCCACGTTTTTTTTTTTTTGTCTGTGAATTGTACTAAAACTGTCTCGATGTGTTTTATACTCAGATATAAGGTATCTTTACCTGCTCACTTATTTTGATGCAAAAAAAATAGTTTAATAAAATAATAATTTGTATTGATTTCTTCAAGTAAACCAGACTTCTCCATACGCAGTCGGGCAGGTAAGTTGTAAATGTGGTTGCGCAGTCATCTCTCGGTTCTGTACAAAACTCCGGAACTGCTGTCAACTTTGGACCGTTTCCGTCCTCCCAAACATATAAAGCAATCTAAAAATTAAGAAAACACACACACACGCACAGGAGACAAACATGAAGACAAATGTGGTCCTTTTAGTTTTGCTGCTGAAACAACGAGATTAGATTTTGACGTCATTTAATCAAGAGTAATGTTTTCACTTACAAAAGAAAAACTGGATAAATGCTTCTATGTTGTTGTTTTTTTCATCCACACAAACTCACGTTCTTGAAGTCGCCTGAGAGTCATTTGAGAATTTCAAACAAGCCGTGGCTCAGAATTTAAATTACTGCTCTGAATATCAATTATACAAGTTCAAAAAAGGTGAAGAAGCAGCATTAATTAGAAGTACAACACTCCTTAGTTTTGACTTTAATTTACTCTTAATAGAACAAATGCAAAAACATAAAATAAACAAGGATTAGTAAATTAAAATAATCCATCCTTTACCATCAGAAATATCCAAATACACAAAATGGCACAAAGTTTGACCCAAAATGGCTTTATATCTGTTATTTTTCAACTAATGTGATCCTAGTCTCAAACTTGTCATAAAAAAGGGGCGAGCGATGCACATTCCCTCAAGGTGTTTAAGGTCTTTGACTTGGGAAGCAGTCTTTATGCTGACAGAATAACAACTGACGCATTAACAGCAAGAATCTGAATTGTTTCAGCTACATATCAGCCACCAGAGGAGTCCTGTTTATCAATGTAAGTTTGAACTTTTTATTTCTGCAGGCAGCCTGACAGATGAAAACCATCTCTCTGTCTGAGGAAGTTGTACTTGAGGAAAACAATAAAGTCTTATCAAATCATATAAAACATGCTGGAGACTCACAAAGCTCCTGTAAATGTCTGAAAGTACCTCATGTGTCAAATCAATGGTGAAATCTGACTTGGGACTCTCATACTGGATCCTCTCAGCGAGTCTAAAACACAAAACACAGTGTTAAATGAAGCTAACTAGAGAGGGAATATTGCAGGAGTGCTTTCCATGAATGCAAACAAAAGCTCCAGATGTCAAAACTTCAAAAGTAAAAGTGATGCTAAAGACTGGATTTTATTGTTTATTTAAATAATAATGGTGTTAATTAATCCCAAAATAAATACAATACTAATGTCTAACTTTAATGATTCATTAAAGTGTTTTATGGGTATAAATAAACTTCTTTGAGTTAATGGTCATGGTTAAAAAAAAACTATAAAAGGTGCATTCATTAAAACACGTTTGATTAAAAGAAGAGAATAAAAATGAGTTATTTGCAGATATTTGCACCGAAACATTCTCACCTTTTACAAAGGGGAGAACTAAGAGCCCAGCCTGCTGCAGGGTCAGGGTACCCAAAAGAGCTGGGGTCCTCAGAGAAGGCATAGTGGTGAATGATGGAGGCCTTGTTGTCATGGAGACGCTTACCCAAAAACCATTCCTGTGAGCGGCAAAGTGAGAATGAAAATAGCTTTTCTTTTCGCCAGTGCTGTTTATGTGCATCAAATCCTTATAAATAAAAATACTGTTTAGTAAAAAGAAAATAATCTGAGATGTTGGGAATATGTTCACAGGACTGACTACACCTGTAGCTCTCACCTCTCGACCTGAAAATCTGTAAAAGATTTGGAGCAGAGCAGGCAGCGTGACCGTGGTTTCTTCTTCTGTGAAGAGAAACCAGGACGCCGATTCCCCGTAAACAGCGGACAGGCTGGGAAAAAATCACAGGAAGTCTTTTGTTGTAGGAATCATTACAGCTTCATTATGTGCACTTTTCTTGAATTTGACTTTATTGACTTGTTTGTCACCACCTCATACAGTACGTGCTCGTCACTCACCGTGGAAGCACAGGAAGGACACTCCAGTCTCCTTCATATTCTGACAGCTCGTGAAGGAGGAGAACAACAGGAACTCCCTGAGGGAAACAGATCCATAAGATTTCTTAAACCTGACACTGTAAAAAAATATAATGATGCATCAAAATCAGGTTCAAGTCAGTCATTGACCAATCACAGGGCCTGATTATAATACGAGCCAAATACTCCTTGAAATGGATTTTATGAAAATTACTTCACTATTATTCTTTTCTCTAATGAAAACAATAGATCTGCGTAAACACACATTTAAAGGTTTAAATTTATATAAAAAGAGAGAACCTGTCCAGGGTGTCCCCCACCTCTCACACAGTGACTGATGGATATGGGCACTAGTGACCCCCTGTGACTTGAAAAGGAAGAAGCGAGTAGAAGATAATGGATGGATGGAAGAGAGAAGTACAGTGGAATGGGCACTGGTAGCACAATACGAGATTCATGGTCACCATCTTGCAAAGTGCTACATGTGTCACTTGTTAATGCTTTGTGTTCAAATGCACTGTGTCATTAGTCCAAAAGCACATAGAAAGAGGCTTATTTTATCTAAATAAACATATATCATATATATTGTGCATTTCTATGCTGATGACACCGTTGTTTATTGTCGAGCTAAAACGGTTGCTAAGGCTCTCCAGCTTTTGCAATCTGCATTTGACATCATCCAGTCAGATTTGTTCCATCTCAAACTTGTCTTAAATGCCAACAAAACCAAAGGAATGTGTGGGGGTTTTTTTTTCAAACCGGAAGTCAGTCCCAGCAGTTCTTCCTCTGATTTTATCCTCAAATGGTGTCCCCACTGAGTTTGTCGATTCCTATAAAAATTTGGGTATCTTGGTCCATTTGCATTTCTCTTTTAAGCTCCACCTGGAAAATTGAAAGTTAAATTAGGTTTCGTTTTCAGAAATAGATCCTGTCTAACTGTGAATGCTAGAAAACGCCTTGTAACTGTGACTTTCCTTCCCTGCACTGATTACGGTGACATTATTTACATAAACTCTCATACAAGCACCCTGCAGATGTTGGACTCTGTCTATCACGGTGCATTAAGATTCATAACTGGCTGTAACTACTGTACCCGTCACTGCACCCTGTATTCACTGGTTAACTGGTCATCATTAACTTCATGCAGACTCTCCCACTGGTACATTTTCATCTTTAAATCACTTCTTAGTCTGTTGCCTTCATACATCACCTCCTACATGCCTCTGCTGTGAGTGCAGCTACAGCGTGCGCTCGCAGGACATTATTACCTGCAGTGTCCCCTCAGTGAGGACTGAACTAGGCAAAGGGCCTTCTCCTACTCCGCTCCTGTTTCCTGGAATATCTTGCAAAAAGATCTGAAGTTCTCGACCTTGACCTCTCTAAGTGGCTTCAAACAACTAAGTTCATGGCAAAAGCCAGTGCAGGCATGTTCCTGTTTTTAGTTTTCTACATCGCCTTACAATCTAGTTGTTTTTTTTATTTATTTTCATTTTAAACACCTTTTATTTTCATTTGTTAAAAAAAAAAAATCTCAACTTGTATGCATCCTTTATGATGGTCTATTGTTGTCTTTGTTGTCCACTGTTGTCATTATTCTTTGTTAAAATCAGGCCTCTCTTGTAACTGAGTCCACGAGGCTCATTGGGATTAACCTGTATAAATAAAGGTTGAATGAAGTGTGAAAAGGTATAAAAGTATTCGTAATGATCCTACAAAGCACAGTCAAGTGGCAGCAGACGGACCTTGTGCACAAGGAGTACCATAAAACAAACTAATTGCAGTCACTATTTTAACTAGACCATAACATAATTGCTCTTTAAGTAATTAAGTACTTTATGCATCTTATAGTCTAACTAAAGCTAAGCTACCTGTGTCTGTCAATAATTTCATTTACACTAATACATTTAAACCATATAATGGGGTCTTGGTCCTCATATTTCTGGAAATATTTAGGTTTTTAGACGTGAACTGCCAGGACTTGTTTTTGTTTTGTTGTTTTTTTGTTAGTGTTTATCTTTTTGTAATTTTATAGGGTTCCTGTGTTTATTTTACTTGTGTTCCTCTGTTGCCCCAATGTTTTTCCTTCTGTGAATACTGCTTCTGTCCCGTCCATCTATTTCTAATTGTCTCACCAGGTGTTTGTCATTTTAGTTCATTAGTGTCACCTTTACATTCTGTGTTCTTCCATTTGCTCCTCTGTGGTGCTTTGTAGTGTTTACCCAACAAAATGACTCCTCCGAGTGTTTCCCCGAGTTTCGCAGTGTTTATATTTTCTGTTATTTTTTTGATTTTGGTAATAAATCATCTTTCTTTATAACTTGAAATCGTGACCTGGATAACTGAGTTTTTGTCTCGCCAATACACTCATTTCACTATTATTTTTATATTTTACCAATAAAATTGGTAAACTATGTTGGTAGATTGACTTTTATTTAAGAAAGCTAAAAGAAGCAAAACTCTTAGATAAAAGCTAAAAATAGCAAGACAGTAAAATCTAAAAGGTGCATAAGGCAACAAAACAAAACAAAAAAAGAATGAATATGCTGATGCATATTTCAGAAAATAAGACTTTTTGAAGGGATTTAATAAATCTCAATGTGATTTTGTCAGGTTGGGGGGGGGGGGTTCTCAGATAGAAAGCAGTACTCAGGATGCTAATCCAGAATAAACTAAAGCATTTTCTTGACTAAAGAGATATTCAGAAAAGCGGAGGGATCAGTCCAACACTGACACAACTGATCGTTTAAACAATAAACCCACAGGTGACACAGAAACCTGAAATGCTTTTGAAGGCTGCAAACTAATTAGTACAACAGAAAACATCTGGAAGTAATAATTAACTGAGAACAGATGCAGGAGCTGGAACCAAGAGAAAACAGACTGAAGTGAACACGAACACCGCTGAAACAAGACTACAGGGGGAGACATAAGGACATTTTCCAGGTTGTCCAGTGGACAGCCTCTTGACTGAACCTGTCCACCAAAATTTTGGGTAGTTCACAACCTTTACAATAAAAAAGGCAAAATATCTCAAGAAAAGTGTACCGTAACTTAATACATATATTGAACTATATCAAAGTTCATGCTCAATAGTCCAGGAAAAAAAAACAACAATGTTCAGTCAAGTCATCTGGACGGTTTCTTGTTTGGTGATACGTTTCATTCTTTATCCAAAGGACTTCATCAGTCCAAGGTGACTTCATCAGTGCGAGATGAAGTCCTTTTGATGAAGGACGAAACGTCTCAACAACAACAAAAAAAAAAAAAAACGTCCAGATGACCTGACTGAACATTGTTGGATATATTGCACTATATAGAAAGTTTACTATACACAAATGTTCTCAGTCAGCCATCTTGAGGACAGTTTGAAGTTTCCAAGTTACTGAGTGGCAGACTCTCTCAGGAGCTGCTGGAGTGGAACTTCCTCGTTCTCCTCATCCTCTTCCTTGTCATCAGACTTTGCAAATGAGGCACTTGTAGCGTATTTAAGGCAGGGATTAAAGTAGAAAACAATCTTTTGACTTTTTCTACACCTAAAGGTTTTAGAAAGAAAACACACACACTTTGTAATCTGAGGTGCATAAATATTCGTCTTTTAGTTTTAATATTGTTTAATTATAAGAACTAAAGCAGCAGAAGCATCCTCTTTCACCATGAGAGACACTAACAGGCTGTGCACACTCTCTCTCGGACCTGGAGTTTAGTCACGTGCACGGTTTGGACAAGTCTATGATGATGACGCTCCGAACACATTTACATTTAATTCAAAGTTAGATTTCAGATACAAACGTCCTGGGAGGTAGAGGTGTGGGAGAATGGGGTGGGGGTAACAGTGTAACAGTTCTGGTGTCTCCTCCTGCTGCAGTTAATTGGTCACGTGCCAACACAAATGTTTAATATGCAATGTTTTTTTTTATTTTTATATGTAGACATTTCATAAATTATTAAATGTCATCACCTTCAGTTAAGATAGCAGGATGTTCTCCTAATAGTCCAGGAAACACTGATTGGTGCTCTCACCTGCAGTCTGTCTCCAAGTCGTGAGCACTGCACACCCCGACATGTATCGGACAGTACGACCCGCCCTGCTCTGCTCGGGTCGAACTGTGGTTCTGGTTCTCTTTATGTTTAATTTCTGTATCATCATTGGATGGCTTTAAAAAGATCGCAACAAAACACATTTTTTTTGGATCCTGTTTTTTTTTTTTTTTTTTAACAGATGATGGAAATCTGTTGCAGTGATGGAGAACTTTAATTCACGCCTGTTTCACTTGGTTGTCCACCGGGAAACCTTGAGGCGAGCTCTGGTTGTCCGAGACAAAGTATTTTTGCCCCCTTTTTTTTTTTCTGCTAAAAACAGAAACTGCTTATGTCAACCTCTGAAAGACAAATACAGACAACACATCATGACAGATTCTATGGTAAAGATTTTGTAAACAAAACGTTGCTGTTGCTTTCCTTCAGCTTTCTTCTGCAGGCGTTACCAAAACGAGCAAACTCCCATGAAAGATTTGACCTTTTTTTTTTTTTACACTGGACATCTGCTCTGACACAACCTGGGCTTGAACCTGCAACCCCAAGATCACAACACCACAGCACTGACCACAGAGGCACCACAGCCTTTAAAAGGTAAATAATAAAAAAATTATAAAAGCTAAGCAGAGTAAATGTCAGCATGTTTCTCAATAAAGCCAAATGTTTCGATATATGAACTTTTAGAAGAATTCCTAGTATGCAGAAGTATTTTGACTGCAGAAATCCTACAGAAGAAATTACAAACATGAAAGCAATAGCATGAATGCTGAATAATCATTTACAAAATGAACATATTTATTGCTTGAATTAATTTTTAACCATTTGCCTTAAAAGGCAGAAGCAACTTAACATCTTATTACAAAAATAATAAACACCTAAATTGTAACTACTGAGGTGAAACTGATCAAAAATGTACTCACTCCTGACTTTTGCCAACATCAGACTGAAACACAGTGATCTGAGCTGCCATCTCGACGTCTATAATGCATGAAATGACACAGATTAAATTATAGATGCTGCACTG